AAATACTGATTGAATAAAAATGATAGAGGTGTCATTGATGGGTTTATTTTACAAACATTGATACAAATTATGTGCGCACAAATATTTAAAATCTGAATTTATATCCCCAGCTGCATACCAGGATCATTAATGTTTTCTAGAAACATAATCAGTGCTGTAATGTACCTGAGCAAATCGCACCCATTACTCAGCTCACTGACAATGAGAAGTAAGAGACACTCAGACTACTTGGCTTCTCTTAAATGTCATCTTCTTCCATAAGCCAATCAAATCAAATTGAGAAGTTAGGCAGAAGCGAACTCGACGCTGCAGCGATTATGAGCGAGGGGAGAGAAACGCTGCAGACTCCTCATCCTGCTCCATCTCCTCCTCTCTGTCTTGGCCCCTAATCCACTTAGTTGCCTCTTTCCTGAGCTTAGAGCCTTTCCCTTATTCCATTATAAAGACCCACTGTACGACCTGCTGCTTATTTCATTAAAAAGGCCCTATCCATGACCCTATGTCTAATCCATAATGTAGACTACGGGCCAGGCACGGCCTGCTATAGTCCACGCCACGTTCCAGCTGACAGATGGAACACCGGGAACAGGGATGGAGAGAAGGAGGCCCAATGAATGAGGGAGAATTTGAGAGCTCCGCTTATGAGTGAAGCTTCCCGGTGAATGTGATTTCAATGATGTAAATGATGATAGAGCTGAGGCTGTGCTACTCTGCCTTTGATGGTTGGAGATGGCTTTCACATGGCCCATCAATGATATGGAAATGGCCAGATCTTTTTGAATATAGCCTGCAAAATGAACATACAGCCCAGGGCTTTTAAAACCCCAAACACCTTGGCTTAGAGTTTCAATTGTAGTCAGTACTTTTGCTCATTACAGTTAACCTTGGGAGAACTTTGCAACACAAAGTGAGTGACGCTGAATCCTATGATAATATTCTATCAACCCGATCCAATTTAACTTTCCTCACGCTGCCTCTGTTTGACCTTCTCTCCACTCTGCCCACTTCAAAACCCCCCGCCCCACCTCTGGCTGTCCTCTACCCCAGACGCCCTCTCGCCGCTCGCCCGAGATCCGGTTTGCTGAGTGTTTTCATCGCGTCCACAAATCTAAATTTACAACCTCACTCTCATCAAATCCAACTTGCCTGCGTTTGCACTTAATGGCCTATCAGGTTACCTATTTATTGATAAAGCAGCAACATTTGCCCCCATCCTCCCCCAAGTACCTGACTTCCCGCATACCTGTGCCAGCTTTTTAGAGCCTGACCAGTCACTCTGACAATGCAGCGTCAGATAAAAGTGAAACGCTTTCCACAGAGGTAACATCTTACACCGTTTGATGGGAAAACAGCTTGCTCTGCTGTCTCTGTCCGCGGTCAGTTTGGGTTTTTAAAAAGAGTTAACCAATAATAATTACTTTTAACTGGGTTCAGTCAGAGAGCCACAGCTAGAGGCCCGGGGACATACAATACGGTCAGGAAGTGACTACAAGCCTCTCTCCATCGATAACACCAGCATATCTCATTACTGCTGCGACCTGTGGTACACTGCCACTCGGGCTTGATCATATAAAACCCATTTCAGCGTGCTGTCCCCGGCGGAGCTCCAGCAGAGTGGAATATTCATTATTCAAATTTTAAGCATTGGAAATCCTAATATGTTACTAAGGCCAGATGAGATGAGATGGAATGGCTTAGCCTTTTGTCCAGGGAACATTGACTAATCGTCTCGCTCCCCTAAAATCAATTTCCCAGCCGTAAGCATCAGACACTCCTGATTGTACTGTACTGTTGAGGACCCCCCACCACTATCACCTAATACTCCTCCTGGCTGCCCAGAATAACTTATTGATTACTGATTATGTTACGGGAGGTGTGGGTGGCCAGGGCGGAAGACGGACTGGCCTCAGTCATCTCCACAGAGCTAAATTTGGCTCCTCTGTCACCAGATCCAACACACGCTGACACTATCACCAGCTGCCACTGGCCCGGCTCTGAGGATGAGGAGAGAAGTTAAGAGACGTACACAAAGAGAAATTTCCCCCGAGCTAACAGTGTAGGTGTAGCTGTTTCAAGCAGAGTGGCACAGCGGGGATTTCATGTGTGATGATGAATTCTTAGATGCTGCGCGCTTGTAGGCCACTAAATAAAGAGTTTGCTTGAATATATCAAAGCCAGAAATGGTTGATTGTTACATTTTCGGAGTTTGGTTGCGGTTCTGGTTTGGCGAGGGACTGTTGCAGCCAGGGGTCGATCCCTTGCTCTCTCTGATGCTATGCTGAGCCTGAAAAGTGGCTGTGATCAATACCTGCAGGCCCTTTCACCACTGCCAGAGGGCTGTTTGTGTTTGTGTGCGTGTGCTGTGTCAGCATCCACTCAGGACTTTATCAGACATCCCACCCCCCACCCCCATACCTTGACTCAACACACACACGCACAAACACGCACACACAAAGGCCCCATCGGTCAACGCTTCACTCAAACAGTAGCTCATTTTCACTTTCCCCATCTCACTCTCAACCCCTGTCTGCTTCTCTCTCTCTCTCTCTCTCTCACACACACACACACACACACACACACACACACACACACACAAATTATGCCTTCTTCTTCTGAGTCCATGCCATCCCAACAAGGATGTTAAATACCATTCAAATGTCAGCCTGCTGTATTGATTGGAATAATAATTCTGGAAGAATTCTGAAAGGCAGGAAAGATGGCTTGTTGATGCTAAGCAGCAGCATGACGGCCCGGGCATCATTCACTGTCACAAAGTTGCCATGTAAGGGTTCCCGGCTCCTCTGGCAGAATGTGGATGGCGGTTTACGTTCGACCACCGAGGCCACGTGTTTCTGTCATTAATCATTGTCTTCACAGGCCAGTGACAGCCAGACCAGGACTCAGGCTGAGAGAGAGTATGTGTGGAGGTGTGGGGGTTGGTGGGGGGGTGTCATTTGAAATGCCCTCAGATCACAGTAGCTGTGTGTGAAAGTGTGTGGCTGAATGTCAGAACAGAGGGTACATTCACTGGCAGGTGAACATACCTTATCTGTCATGTCTGAGTGCAGGAAAAGTAATACTGAACTACAAGCATAAATATGATCAGTTCCATATTGGATCTGGTCTGCGAAGATTCACTAATCTCATATTAAACAGTGTACGCATGTAAAATTAACACTTTCACTTTTATAGCTGGTGCTGGATGTTGCATTCTGTGGCTGCAGTGCCAGTTAATTCTGTATCAGCTACCCTGAAAAACTGGTCTATCGGTCCAAGCGGCTTCTCTCCAAGCCGTTGACTGTACTCTGCCAAATAGTGTGAGTACAGAGAAACATCCCACTATATCGTCAACGACTGCAAGCGTACAGTGTTTTTTTTTTAAGTTAAACAGAGTGCTGACTGTTCTGCAGAGAAATGGTCTAGTTGATCGTTACTGTGATGCATACAGAAGGCTCCAGTTAAAATTTTCATACATAAGATCAATATTTTGAACTAATTAACCTCGCCGTTCTGAATCAAGACCTTCATTATTTTGGTCAAGTTGTGTGAATGTAATGTCAATGTGTCCGAACAGTCAATGTCAAAAAATACGCCTCTCACTTCAAAAATTTCAAATTTCCACTGAAATTAATAAAAACAAAACATTTTCACTAACAACGAAACTCAAACACGGAAATCATTCTCAAAGCTAAAAAACTAAAACTAAACCGACGAACCCTTAACTTTCATGCTTTGTGGCTGAATTGCTGGGGTTCCTAAACATGTTAACTTTGCAATAATACCACCCACTCTTGATTGTTGAACACCTAGAAAGAAATTTCACAAACTTATTTGCAGCAATGGTGGGATCCTATTACACTATGGCGCTTGAATTCACGGCGCTCTTTAGAACAACTCATTCTTTCACAAATGCTTGTAAAGACAGAATGCATGGCTAAGTGCTTCATTTCGTACACCTATAGCAACTGGACTGCAAACATCCAAAGTTTACAGACAACATACAGCTTATAAAGCAACAATTAATTACTAAAAAAATCAAGCAAATACAATAACATTCCCAGCAAGAATCATTTCTAGCTTCTTGTACCAAAATAAAATTATGTAACATCTTCATTGAATAAGTTTATATTTCTAGTTTTAGTTACTTAAAAAATACAAAGCTACATTCAAGAATTGATAAAAGATTCAGTGGCATTTGGACCCTTACCAAGTTATATGAAATGGAAAACTGTTACTGATGTAATTGAACTGTTGTGGTTTTGCTTTGGTATTTAATATTTCGATTGGAGACTATGTAAGTCATTGTTAAAATGGTTTTCAATTAAAACAAAGTTTAATTTTATTTAAATTATGATATCAATATTTTGCAGCTTACCTTTAGTCATTGCTAGCTACTTCTAGCTACTCCTAGGAAGTAGCTAGAAGTAGCTAGCATACATAAAACATGTCTTCCCTGATGGGTTTGTTTGTTGCTGGCTGTTGAACACAGGATTTCGAACACATTTCTCATTAGCAGCTGGAGGTTGTCAGGTGTTTGCTGACTGGTCTAGGCCTTTAATGTGTTTTACAGAAATTTAGCAGCTGAGCATCTTTGAGATTTCTGCTCCTATCCTCAAACATTTATTTGTGCCCTTGACAAAACCCTTTAACCCTTGTTAAGCTATTCTTATTAAGAGTAATGTTTGATTTTAAAAAGGATGCTGGTATTTTATCAAGATATTATAACTGGATAAACCGAATAAAATGGCTCCCATTTTATAAATATATAAATCTGTCTGAGTTTTAATACTTTTCAAATGTTCCTCTTAGTGAACTTCAGTTTAACACATATGTTTTTAATAGTTTTATTTATTTAATTTTTTTCTTTTTTTGTCCTGTACGGAGTTCTTAATAGTTTCATGTTTTGTATTCTTCTCACCAAAGAATTTCTTATGTTCATAATCAGATTTACATTCAAAGGTGTGAATTTGTATCAAGATGTAGTCAAAAGTGGCTCTCACCTGGCAGGTACCTCGATGTTGGAGATGGCGTAGAAGTACTTGAGTAGGTTGTCTCTCTGGACATAGGTACCTCCGAGGGCAGGCCTGAGCAGCCTCAACCTAAGGTTGGTGAAGGTGAAGAAGTCCTTCAGTCCCTTCATACTTTCCATTCGGGCGTACAGGTTGTCCATGTTCTGTAGCCGAGGTCCAGCAAACACAGCAAATCGTGCCCGCACCTCAAACTTCACATTCTTTTCACCCTTGGAGCCAACCCAGCGCGAGTACTGCTCAGTGCAGATGACCCGTGTGATGTTAGCAGGTGAGAGATCGCGCACTTGTTTGGGTGGCATGTTGAATGCATCCAGACAGTCGTCAGCATAGAACTGGTAGGGCTGCCAGGAGCGTCCGTGGTCCATGGACTTATCCAGAGCCATGATCGTAGGGCGGCCATATTCAAAGGAGATCTGGATATCGTCTGTGAGCTCCAGACTCTTGTTCCAGGACATGGTGACGTTGGCCAGCAGGGGCAGTGGGTGGTTTCGCCATGTTACTGTCTGCCAGTAGGTAATTAGGCCATTGCGCTCATTGTCCTGCATCAGCTGAGGAGGGTGGGCAAGGTCTGGATTTAAGGCATCGCACTCGTCACTACATAGGTATGGGTTCTCCTAAAAGAGAGATAAAGTCAGACAGAAAGGATTTCATTCAGGGTTCGGGAATGACTCTAACAAGAGGAACAGTAATGAATACTTGATAATACAGTGCATATTCCCGAAAATTGCATTTTTATTAGATTACTGCAAATTCACATTGACACTGGGGCCCTTTGAGTCCCTTGGGTAGTTGTCTGCTTTTCTCTTCTGGTCATCCAGCCCTAAATAGGCTCAGCAAATTCTCAATTGACAAGACAACAAAATGTCTTTGCTTTAAAAATGGATTTGTGGTCCCTGCAGTAGCTGCAGCCATCATTACTGCAACGGAAAATTATGTTAAGCTACGGATTTACAAATTCTATTCACAATCATCAGGATGTTCCTTTGTTCCCAGTACAAATGCTGATTCAAAAGATATTTATTTATTCCCACAATATCCACAGCTCAACACCAAAATCCTCCATATTATCCTCCCAAAAAAGACAAAAAGAGACGTGTATGGAGGGCCTTTCCAATGCACCAAGGGACAGAGAGCTTAAAAGTAAACTTGCCAAACAACACAACAGGAAGTGTGAAGGTCAAGAGGATCGTGCATCATCACTGTCTTTGCATAGACAGCAGAGTGCTGCTGCACTTTTAACTCCAGAGAATTGATCCTCCTCTTCTAGTGATGCCAAGACTTTCAAGTTGCTGCCCCTCTACACAACTAAAAGTCAACAGGATTAGTCACGCTGCTCACAGAGAGCTACAAGCCTCTTTACACCTGCAACGAGAAATGCTTCTGTAAGAATATCTCATGCATCTCATCTTCCCTTGATACCAGTAAGACAAATTCATCCTCAACTCCTTTAGGCTCGCAAATTCTGAAACACCCCCCCCCCCAAAAAAACATAACAAAAAAAACTCCAACAAAAAACATCAGGTCCATTACTACTTTATATACGTGATACAGCACGGCTTTCTCAGCATTGACAAATGTAATCTTTGGCTGGATTATGTTTGGGATCAGGGTTGAGTGAATGAAGTGCTATATTTAGTGTATGTACTGCAGCACAGTCACAGAGAGGTGGGTAAAGGGTGGGCTGCAGCTCCTGACAAGTGATTCCCATCTCTATGTAGATTTAGGCGACAAGGCTGTGCCTTCAGTTCATTTTGTATCAAGACATTTTATATATTAAACCAGACCACAGTCCTTTCCTAGCCCAATTTCGGACTGTCTACACACAACTATAAAATATATCAGTGCTATAGTCATTACACCAATGTTCTGCATGATCTGATATTCCAGCGAAAAGCAAATAAAATAGCTTGGCTTTAATCATTTTAGTAACTTGCCAAATATGTTAATTAACAAAAAACATGGTGTGATAAATGTAATTTCTAGCAGCCTAAGTTAGCATCAACTAACATTAAGAGTTGTCGTAACTGCACCAACTTTTCAAATAAGTTTTATACATCTTTAATTCCACAGATGCTGGCTCGTCATATTAAAACCACTGCAGAGGTTTCAGTGAAATTGATGCAGCTGACTGTTTTAAGCCAGTTGTCTGACATCCCCATCACCACCCAAGTAAAAATATTTACATAAGGAAATCCCACAGATCCGCAGCCATCTCTCTTGGTGCTTAATTTGCAAAGCTCAGCTCTCGTGCTGTTTGGATTGTTTTACATTCAGAAGGCTAACCATGCCCCCAAGATGCACTAATTAGACTGTTAGAGTTATGATTTTCTACAATATTTAGCCGAAGTCACTAATTGCATCAAATACAAATATCTTTGTATTATTTGACCAAGCATTCACTCTATTGCCCTCATATACTGTCTTCTTTCATTACACATCACTTCACATTTAAAATTCAACATGTCACAAACAATACATGTCAGTATATTGTATTTATATATTGAATGTGTGTTTAAATTTATGTCAGTATATTTATTTGTTATTTAAGTTTTTATGTACCTTGTGAAAAAGGATTCCCATAACAGCGTTATGTTTGCATAATTACAATAATGAATCTTCAGCTGCGTTTTCATCCTCCTCTCTGGTTTTCTCCACTCGTAGTAACTGATTGCAGTTCTACAGCTGATGTCATCCTTATTCTTTTATTTATTCGAAATCTGGCTGTCGTTCTGTGTTTTACCGCTGCGTGCTTAACAAGCTCTTGATGGACTAGAGAGTATAAATATCCCTCTTTTTTTCTTCCACCTCTACCGCCCCTGCTTCTCCGCTGCTTCCTCCCCTTTCTTCTTCTCTTTTTTCATCCTCCCTTATTATTTTTACTTTTAGCGTTTGTGCTGTTTCTAATTGTAGTGTTTAAGAATGCACCAGCTCAACTTGTAATGTCATTTGGTAAAATAATAGTAATTAGGCTGAAAATAACTACTACAGGGAGAAAAAAAACATGTTTAGTTAAATAATTAGTTTGAAGATTTTCAATTATTATGCAGTAAAGATGGGCTGTTGTAAAGCAGACAAAGTTAGCTTTCATATCTACACCATATAGAAAATTCTCCAGCAAGGTACTGATTCTTTAGCATTTGACCTGCAAGTGAGATCCCAAAACTGGTAGGTTTTTAAAAATTATTTCAAATTTTAAGTTGTTGGACAGGTTTTTATGTGAGTTGGCAAACTGTACAAGAGTCTCGGCGCAATAAATCCAAAGGCTCAATTACCTTAAATGACCTTTAGTTGTTTTTAGGTGAAAATGGGGCCAGTGAGAGAAGTTGTTGACAAAATGACCTCAGGGACCCAGAGGCAAAATATGGATTGAAATTAATAGAGTTGATCCACAGGGAGGCTTGAAAGACAACCTATAACCTTTTTAAAATTAATTTTGTATTTAGCCAGGACAGCCAAGCCAAAACAGAAGTGACATGATATCTTTCATTTGTACCAGTTAGAGTCCAGCTGTGAGGTGATAAAGCTGTGGATTTATGTTTCCATATCCTTTAGAGCCTAAACCAGCTCTAATTAAGTGATGCTTCTCAATTAGTGAAAGCTGAGTTTGCTGATTTGATTAATAAAGGAACTTTCCATAGAAACACCAAGATTTTCAACCAGGAGCACCAGGTGTGTTTGTTAAGATATTTGTGGAGTTTGATGGACCAAACTCAATAGTTTTGGTTTTGGTATCATTTAGTTGAAGGAGGGTCCACAATTTGAGACAAAGACTTTTTTTCACTGAGAAGATATTTTCAAGTGTGGCAAGTAGATAAAGTTCAGTATCATCCAGGTATAAGTGAATATTGTGTTTCTGAAAGCTAGAGCGTGTATACTGAGAAGAGGACCTGATATAGGTCCCTGGGGGTTGTTGCGTTTAGTGAAAGAAGAACAGTTTCCTACTTGGACCTGTAACATCACATATCATGAGCCTTAACAACCAATGAGATGTTTTAACAATTTATCACAAGGATCTGCCATATTGTTTATTCTTGTATTAATTAGACCAAAAGAAAGAAAGAAAAAAACATTTTTTTTCTTGATAATACCAATTTCTTGGTCCTGGCTAAAATTCAATGCACATATAATGTCTGTTGTTAAAATATTGTCAAAATGTAATGAATTTATTTATGCAAATATAGTAGTCATTCGATCAATTGAGATCTAATTACTTTTGGTGTAGCCATTTATCAAATTGTAGTCATGGCTACATGTTGAACTGAAAAAGTGTATTACACCATGGATAGAAGCCTTAATGCAGAGTAATGTAATGGTGCTGCTGCTTTAATTTTAACAAGGCTAAATTTGATCGCCTGATGATTTCACCACAAATTTGTGTTTCGACGATCAAACACTGACCCTGCAGGGTTTAAAGGTTGGTTGTATAGAATTTGAAGGGGCGCTTGAAGATCCTCAAGATGACACAGCTGCTAACAAGCTTGATAGAGTTGGGTCTGAGGTGCAAACGTTTCATGGATATCTGAGTATTTGTAATATATTGAGAATACAGATGGAGAGCAGGAGAAGCGGTCAGAGAAGCTCCTTTGGTTCCCCCCCCCCCTCTACTAAAAAGAAATCAAGCTTTCTACAGCCACCTTTCAGTTCCATAAAGATTTTGGGTGGAGTATCACATGAAACAGCAGTTTCTTCTTTCTGTGAAAGCAGTACTGCACAATATTGATGAACCTTGCAAGTGCGTATCACGTGTCGCTGCTTCTTTGCATCTATTGCCAAACCCTCTTGAATAAAGTCATTGGACTGCGCTATAGAAAAGTGAGCAGTCACTCAAGCTCACTCTAGTGGCCTGATAACAAAAGCAAAAGTTACAATCCTGCGAGGCTGAGATTATAAATCATCTGATTTATGGTGACAGTGCAGAGTGGGGAAAACTCCAAACATAAGCAAACGCTGAGCTGGTGCTGAGAGAAGCTGTATGGCACAAAAGACACTGTGCGGGATCATAATGCATGTGAAGACACAGCAGTGGTATCTTTATACCAGAAACTGCAGATAATCTATCTCTCTGCTCACTGGAGCAACATAGCAGCATTGTTCCCCATCTGATAACCCAATTATCTCTCTTTGCACTGACTCACATCGAGATCGCTGTCAGCGCAAACACACTTAAGATGATCATCTACAATGCTCATAAACAACTGCAACCAGAAAAAGTAATTAGGATCAGATGAAGAGGGTTATAGCGAGCCTCGGAGTGAGAGTAGCAGCTCCGTGGTGGATCAGCTGCTTCTGTGCCCTTCAATCCAGACCCGTCCACACACGTGTTTACACACACTCAAAGTAAGATTAGTACGCCTGTTGTTCTGAAGATGACCCTTGACCTACAAATCCGATTGAAAATGATCGCACTGTCACACAGTCCCAGATAGAGCACATATAGGTTAGCTCCTGAAGTGTACCGGTGATAGCATTTCCTGTTTTGTCTGACACAGAAAGCATGTGAGTACCAGACAACATGAGGGAGTCATTACAGTATTTTACAGCATCAGGTCGAAAGCGTTCGCCAACCTCCTCCGACCTCAGCCGGCCCTTTAGGATTAACTAGTCTGGAGGTGAT